GCAGGTTTCACGCGAGTCAGCAACAGACAAGCGGTCAATCAGTGAGAGAAAGAGAGAGGGAGAGGGAATTAGAAATGACAGGAGAGCGAAAGAGAACAGGAGAACCAGAGGGAGCGAACAAGCGACACACACAGCCGGCTTCCTGGCGCGGCTACTGCGGAATGCCAAGTGGGCGCTGCCACTCCGCCGCTACAGCAACGTCCCCCCCCCCCCCCCCCGTTTGGAGGCCGCACAAAAGTCATGGTCCTGACAACTGTGCACCGTAGAAGTGGCCGTGCTAGCCCATGTGCTCTGGGATGACGGAGTCACATCACTCATTACTAGCAACGGTGATATCAGCGAAGGTCGCGAAATTAATGGCAATTATGACTATACTGAGAATTTGTGATGGTAGCGCTGATGGCGGATTCGGTGACGGACCTGCTTGCGGTAAAAGTTTCACTCTCTCTGCCTTCCAAGCGACTGCATGAATGTGCCTCTCAGTTGCATCACTTGCAAGGGATTCACTTTGCCAGAAAATTAATCTTTACTCACCATTTCTCTCTCCAACTTCGTAATTACTGAGAAGCGCATACCCTACCACCTAATATAAATCGAATCCAAGCAAGCGTTGCGGCTAAAACCGCGCCTTCCACGTGTTATCCAGCCGCCAAGCAGCGCCACCGGCGGCAGTCCCTTCGGAATCAGATTCCCTTCAGACGGCGGGCGCATCCGCTCCTCCTGCGCGGCGGCGCTCAGCGGCCCCGCTAATCCGCCACAGAGGCATCGCGGGGATGGCGGCGCGGCACGATAAACATCTACTACAATAGCAATGATTGTGGTTATATAATAGTAATGATAGTGATGGCGATATTGATAAGGATGATAATGGTGGTATTAACGACGATGGGAAAGGCAATAAACCGTAGAACATTAATAAACGTGCTGTTCCTTCGAGCCCGAACAGTTCTATCAACAACATCCGCCGCTAAATGTTCCGCTTATAGATCTTCTCTCCGGCCATTGCGTTCCGCCGGGGCGAGGACAGCGCGGGGCAGCCTTAATTAATCGCCCTTTCGCTCTGAAACAAACCAAGCAGCAGGCGGAGGGCGACCAATCCAGGCCCGGGGTTTGTACAGGTGCCCGCATGCAAACATGTAGACACTCACACACAAGGAAAGATATAGACATGAGATAAATAAACACACACAAGTTCAAGATGCAAGAAATCATTGCCGAAGCCTTTAACCGAATCCTCCACCGCGATGACACCCGTCTACCCCCTCTCCCCCTCGTCAGGGGTTATGTCACGGGAGCCTGGCACGGCGCGGCTAGGGAAGCGAGGTGACAAGGGTGACACAGGGAAACAGACACAGACAAACGGCCAGGCAACTAGACGGACAGGAGCGCGGGAGCGAAAAAGGGAAGAGGCGATGAAGGCAGAGGTTAGCACAGGAAAGGGGGGTGGGAGGCGAGAGCGAGCTAAGAGGAGGAAGGGAGAGGCAAGGGCGAGGTGGACAGAGGACAGAGAGAGATGGAAGTAGACCGAAAGGGAGGCCGTCCTTTGGCCCGATTCCTGCAAAGGAAGGCGCCGGTGTTGTTGTTTTTTTGCATCTCCTCCTGGATCCGCTCCACGACCTGTCTGGCAAGGATTTCTTCTAAGCCGGATACCCTTCCTGCCGCCAACCTCCCACTCACCCGGGCTGGGCCAGGCAGAAAACTTGATAGATGAACGGACAGGTAGCTGATCCGGGACGCTGACCCCCGCAGGCCGCCGGCCAGCCCGCGCGAGAGCGCCGGAGCCGAGGGCCAGCGAGCCAGCGATGAGGGCAGCGGTGGGCGCGGGCGGAGGCGGCGGCGGTGGAGCGGAGGGGGTCGTTGTTGACTGTCTGGCTCGAAGGAGACAGCGGGGCGGACGCGGCTGCCGGCTCCGCGGCAAACACGGCGCAATTCGCACATTTATATGCATCTGTCTCTCTGGCGTTGGATCTCTCGTGGCGCTTTCTCGACGTGCTCCCCCCTCCCCCCCTCTTTCTGTGTTTGAGTATGTGTAGAGAAAGAGCAGAGAAAGAATAGATTAGAAAAAATTCAAAACAAGTAAAACTCCTTTAAAACACCGGACTCGCACCTGGGGCATGAGTGCCAAGTCATCATCAAGGCCAGAGTACTATAAACTATAAATGGTAATCCTATTTCTGTCACTAAAAGTAATAAAGATAAAATGTCATAAAATATCATCCCTCTCCCCCGCCTTCCCCTCCCCTCCCCTCCTGACAGACGCCGACCGTGCCAAAGGGCGTCTGGTGCCCCGGCCTGGGGCTTGATGCCAGTCGCCCTAGTCACGAGAGCCTTTTGTTCGGGAATTATACAATGCTTTTTTGTACTGCTGTAATCACACACACACACACACACACACACACACACACACACACACACACACACACACACACACACGCATCCTTTTCATCATTGTAATGAATATTCATAAAAATATTCATGGGCAGTCTGAATACCCCCCCCC